TATTCTTTTATTTTAAATGGTTTTACAGTGTGACATTTATTTTTTTTAAATAAACAATTCACACTTAGCCTTTTGGGAGCCAAAAGGGCGCACAAGTAATTTTATACAAAATATAGTATGTAACAACACAGGACATGTCAATTCATGTCAACTAACCATATAAAATAAAAGACAGAAACACTTGCAGGGCTACAGTGACGCACTCCATTGTGCAGGAAACTGAAAGTGCAGAGGTGCTCAAAAGCATAACCCCTTTGACACATCCCACATCTGTTGTGAAGTGGTGTGTCCAAGTGCCTGCGGCTCTGAGGGTGTCCTCATTATTTACATGTTCATGCACTTTCACCTTAAATCTGACTACGTCTAACAAACCACATCTTTAAATCTTTACCATAACTGCAGATGTTAATGGGATGTTTGGGAGATGAGATCTGACATCAGCAAGACATAATTTCACATCAAATTCTATAAACAACAGCAGGGCGCAACAAATGCATGCTGGGCTAAACTATTTAGGATTATAAACAGAATCATGCCTGAGTTAGAAAAGATAAACAACGAGCTACAGCTTGGAAGAGAAACCACAGAAGGCAGGATTTTATCCATACCTTCCAACAAACTCATAAGATAAACTACACTGACACTAGGCATGGGCCGGTATGAGATTCTGATGGTATGATAACCTTAGATTTCAAAAAAAAAATCACGGTTTCACGGTATTGCGATTACAGCTCTAAAATATGTTATTTTTAAATGTCTGGGTAAAAAAAAATTGTTTTTTCCACTGAACACATTTTATTTTTAAGAAACATATAGAACATTTTGGAACAGTAAACATGTCAGGCTAAATAATTAGAATAAATAATTAAATTCTTCTTAATTAAATGCAGTCACTTAAGTGAGCCTAAACCTGCAGCTCAACAATAATCAGAACATAAATAAATTATTTTCTGTAAAAAAAAAACAAAAAAAAAATCCCTATAAATGAAAAAAAAAAAAATACAGTCACTTAAGTGAGCCTAAACCTCAAAGCTCAATAATCAAAAATATCAAAATAATCAAAACATAATTTCTGTAAAAACAAAAATAAAAAAATTAATAAATGCAGTCATTAAACCTGCAGCTCAACAAGGTTTTTGGAGATATGCTCAATTTCTACACATTCATCTTTCAGTCCAAGTTATGATGCAGGAATGTTCACCTTTCCCGGATTAAGTTTGGAACGCTCTTCGCTGCACACAGCTGAGGGAGTCCTGCACTTTCCGTCTTTGACGACACGTAAAAAAACTGCGCATACCGCAGGAACGGTATAACGGAAAATTTTAATGGTTTTGAACCCGTGTCTTTTCCAAACCGCGGTATAACTTGAAACCGGTTATCGTCCCATGCCTAACTGACACACAGCCGGTGTTTCAGTCTGGTTATACAACGCGGATGCTCAGGACCGTTATTCTGTCCTCAAGTGAAATCATTTAAAAATGTGTAGTACATTAAAGGGGTCATATGATGCTATTTCAATTTTTGGAGTGTTACAAGCTCTTGGTGCATAAAGAAGATCTGTAAAGTTGCAAAGACTAAAGTCTCAAATCCAAAGAGTCAAAACATAATTTCTGTAAAAACAAAAATAAAAAAATTAATAAATGCAGTCATTAAACCTGCAGCTCAACAAGGTTTTTGGAGATATGCTCAATTTCTACACATTCATCTTTCAGTCCAAGTTATGATGCAGGAATGTTAACCAGTGTGCAGGCATTTTTAGTGTTTTATACATAAAATAAGATACAGTAAGAACATGAACAAAGTAAAACAAACAGACAAATACAATAAAACAAATATACAAATGAAATGAAAAACAGTGCTGTCATTTTTCCATGAAGTTCTACTAACATTACTGTTCAGGTAAGTAATAGCCTATGGCTATCAATAGGTACTTAATTAGGGAAATTATAATGGTGACAACCTTTCATAAAACGTCTTTATAAGTACCTCTTGTCTACTTCAGGCTAGGGCTGTGCAAAAAATCGAATGCGATTTTTTTACACAGCCCTACGTCAGGCTCTATCAAAGTGCATTATAAGTAGTTCACATCTGCCCTCAAACATTTCTATACCAAAGAGAATCATCTGTACAAGCCTGAGTAAAAGCTTTAAATCAATTCTTTTGGACTACCATTCTAAAGTTTGGAGTCTGTAAGATTTTTCAAAAAAAGAAATTAATGCTTTTATTCAGCAAGCATGCATTTAATTGCTCAAAATTGATAGAGAAGACTTCTGGAAAAAATCTATTGTGGTTTCCACAAAAATATTAAGCAGCACAACTTTTTTCAACATTGATAAGAAGAAATGCTTCCGGAGCGCCAAATCAGCAAATTAAAATGATTTCTGAAGGATCATCTGACACTGAAGACTGGAGTAATGACTGCTGAAAATCCAGCTTTGCCATCACAGGAAT